GTGTGTGTGTGTGTGTATAATGCCTTTTGAGTTTTGAGTAGCCTAATGGGTATATCATATTTTAAATGAATATATAAAACTAAATAACTAATAAAAATAAACAATTAAGTGCATAACCCGTCGGGTTAAACCCGACCCGACCCGTTCTGACCCGAAAATTTAACGGGTCATCGGGTTCGGGTCATTTCGGGTTCGGGTCGCAAAATCAATATTCAAAACCCGCTGATTTCGGGTCGGTTTTCGGATTAGTAACGGGTCGGGTCAAATTTTGCCAGATCTAGTCGTGTCGGAAGAAGCCCTTCCTTTTGAATTAAGACCTAAAACCAATCCATCCTCCCAAATTAGCCAAAAATTAGTGTTTGGTGGATGTTGGCATCCGCCAAAAATTGGCTCCCTTAGGCAGTTGGAAATACCCGAGACTTCAAATCCGGCTTCAATATTTTTTTCTTAACTTACATTTAATGGAAATGAGTTCGGAGCCCGGGATTTGATAAAGGGGTTTCAAATCTTTATTTTACATTTTTAAATATACATTATCTAAATTCAAATTAATAAATTTTAATTATTTAAAATAATTTAAAGGAGAATAGTGCATTAAAAAATGCATTCTAAAAAAAATATTACATCCCGATGGCGTAAATCACTGAATCCACGGCAATCAATCCGTGTGGTATATTGTGATCCCAAAGAAGCCCGACGCCCCCCCCCCCCAAGTTTCATAACTTTGTTATATCTCAGATCCACTACCCAGAAATCTGAAGTTCTACGTTCGCCCCGTGTTTGCACCAGAATCTTATACTTTCCCACCCACGACTCCTGATTTCCTTCCACTGTCTCTTCTCTCGTTTTCTCCATCCTTCTCTCTCTCTCTCTCTCTCTCTCTCTCTCTCTCTTCGTCTCTCCCTCCCCTCCTTCCGGCTTGAAACCCTAACCCTCCTTCTCTCCCAAGTTAAATTCTTAAAACAAAATACCGAGTAAGAATAATAAATGGAACTAAATTTTTTTCTCAAAAGTTGGTATATGGTACATCCGGATGTGTTTATGAAGAATTGATGATCAATTAATATGTATAAAACACATAAAAACTTTGAGAAAAAAAGTTTCACTTTCAAGTATACATATTTCTCCCCCTATTTGTCAAGAACAAAAAGGATTGAATGAAATTTTGATAAAAAAGTGTAAAGTTTCTTCAAAAGCTCTCCCCCTATTCTTATAAATTTGTTATTGTGAGGGTACCCACGGTTCAAATGTGCTGGGTCCACCCCTGAGTGGCGCCTAGCTCGCCGTCCCTAGTGGAGGGTACTGCCGGCGGCTCGGACGCTGGCTCGCTGCTCGCCAAAAAGATCCATGTTGTTCTTCACGATTCAATGTCTCAAAATCGAGCCTCTCCTTCGACGGATCTCTGCGGCCAAGAAGTGCAGAAGACTGCAGACAGTACAGAGTATTTTTTTTTCTTTTCCTTTTGTATGACTTTTCCCTTCTTGCACTCTCTCTTTTCTTTTTTTCTTTTGTTTTCCTTTTCCTATTTTTACTTTCTCTCTTTCTTTTTTTATATAACTCACAATTTAAGAGACTCAAAAAATATAAATTTTTTGTATTTGGTCCCACAGATCGGATGGCCCTTGATGTATAAAGAGCCATCTAAAATCGAAAAGAAAAATCTTAAAATAAAATTTTTAAAATAACAAGTGGTCACACAGATCGGATGGCCCTTGATGTATAAAGAGCTCCAGCGTGGTCCGTGTCGTATCACTCGCAGGTATTAGCCGGCGATGAAACCAACACCGGCACTCTCCTCTCATTTCTCTCTCTTGTCTGAGACGAGACGATGTTGGATAATGGCCAGATAAGTAACCACGGGTTTACTTTTTAACTCTTACTCCTTGGTATATACGGTGTATAGAGCTGGCAAATCGATCGGTCAGGTCGGGTTCGGGTTCGGTCACTTCAAGTTCGGGTAATTTCGGATTCGGGTCAATTCGGGTTCGGGTTGAGAACTGTATGTTCATGACCCAGTCTCATCGGGTTCGGGTCGACCCAACGGATTATGACTTTGGTTTTTAAAATTTTTAAATTAACATTAACACTTACATTTTCTATTAAATAAATTCAAAATATCAAAAAAAATGTATTAAATCTATAAAATTATTTTATTCTAAACTCTGAATTAATTTTTAGATATATAAATCAATATAAGGAATTTTAAAAATGTTTAAATTTTGGAAAAAAGTAAGATAATTATGCAACATCATTAAAATTTTGTCTGAAAATATAAATTTATACACTAAAAACGAATAGTAAAGTGTATGATTTTGAAAATTCTTACTTTAGCGGGTCGGTCAGGTCGGGTTCGGGTTCGGTCGGGTTTGACCCATTTTTAGCGGGTCATTTCGGGTTCGATCAAATTCGGGTTCGGTCATCAAAACCTTTGTTCAAAACCCAGTATTTTCAGGTCGGGTTTCGGGTCAAAAACAGGTCGGGTCATTTTTTGCCAGGTCTAACGGTGTATATATGCCTTACTTTAAAAAATTTTGTTTAATAAAAAAATAACAAGATTTTAAAATCCACTATGAAAAATGAAAAATTTTTTAAATTAAAAAATTTTCAAAATATTAATAAATGATAGTGAAATTTGCAGACTAAAACAGAATAACTTTCTGACTAAAACTTTTATATTCCTCATATAGGATTTAATAATGACCTATTTGGGAGGAATAATGTCCAGTAATGATAAAAATATATGGTTCTAAATGATATTCAACTGCCTGTTTGTTCTCTCTCTCGGAATGAATGTAAGACCTCTCTTAAATAAATTAAACACATTACTCAATTTTATAAATTCAATTTGGGCTTCATGGACAGTCTCTCATAAAATTTAAATAATTATACATATTCAAATTTAAATATTAAATAAAATAAACTTAAATCACAATTGAATTTTCAAATTTACATCAATTTTTACTGATATGATATATTTATTATTCCATTAGAATATTATTTGTGTAACATAATTAGAAGACATTGTTCATGCTATAATTAATTCATCTTATTTGTGGGAAAATTGCACAGTTCTCAAACTAACAAAAAAAATATGTGGCTTTTAAATGATAATTTTCAGAAAGGAACCCTCTCTTTTGCGTAAGAACTACGGTCGCATGTGAGAATGAGTGGATGGATATCAGCGGCCTTATCCCTTCCTTTTCTAACTTTTTTTAATTCTTAACGGCTCCGTTCACCTGACATCAAGCTTAAATGTCATGCTATGACATATTCTTTCTCAGCCTTTGGATCTAAACTCCTTTTAAAATTACGGTCCAGATTAAATCCCTTTTCTTATACCTGTTTCTTCTTCTCCGTTAACGGAGTCTCTTTATGCATCGATGTCCGTCTCTCTTCTTTCTCTTTGCGCTCGGTATAGTTTCCAATGTCCGCCAAAATTCAACCAAAATAAACACAAGACAATCTTTCTTGTGTCGCCATGGCCTCAATTACAAATTTTTAACATTAGAAGAAGTAAAAATCGGATTTGGAGTTTTTTTAGAGTGAAAAAACTAAACAAATAAAAAACTAAAAAAATGCTTCAATTGTAATCGCACGGACAAAAAAAGGGACTTTGAAGGGGAAAAAAATTAATAAGCAGAGCAAGTGACGTTCAGAGGGCAGGAATTGAGGGAGCGCAAAAATAAAGAAGAGATGTCGAGAATAGATAGCGATGCATAAAGAGACTCCGTTAACGGAGAAAGAAGAAACAGTTATAAAAAAAGGGATTTAATCTGGACCGTAATTTTAAAAGGAGTTTAGATCCAAAGGCTGAGAAAGAATATGTCATAGCATGACATTTAAGCTTGATGTCAGGTGAACGGAGCCGAATTCTTAATACCCAATTTTACGAATGGGGGTTAGGGGAGGTAGGAACCGTTAATTTTACGAACGAGGCACCAGAGCGCCCCCGAGTCATCCCATGACATCGGTTCCCAATGTCATGGGAACCATGGTGATGTAAATTTGGGTCCAAGTTTTACCTATTCGGATATTAAGTTGAACCAATTCCGACCCACTCCTATCCAAAACTCTTCCTTAAGTATATTTTAACATTTTTATATACAAAAAGAGTCTTTTTAAATATAAAAATGTTTTTTCTTAGAAACTAAAATTTTAAGAAAATCTTTTATAAAAAAGTATTTTTCTATAAAAATGTTTTTAAAATCGGTTCTTTAAATGTATAAAGATCTAATTTTTAAGGTCTAACAATAATCCTATGTGAGAAGAAGATTCTTATGATGTAATTATTTTATTCAAAGAAAGTCAAATGTTAGACTTTTTCAAAAATACATCTTTTTTACATCTCTAAAAATCTGAAACAAAATTAATTTTAGACATAATAGTATTTTTATTTAAGGAATTAGTATATCAAATTTTAAGACGACATAGAAACATTAATTGTAAAACATTCAAATAAATCTGATATAGATTCTTTTAAAAATATTGTAGATTATTATAAAACATAATATAATATTGACATATTTATCTCTACCTATCGTGGATGACACCACCTGCCTCCATCAATATTTAACTTCTTCTTTTTGGCATGCTAAATTTTATCAAGCTTGTTATTAGTACCAAACCAAACCATTTTCAATTTTTAGCAAGCTTGTCAAACATTGACAAATTGCAGCAGCATATAGCAAGTCATTTTAAATATTGGCAAAAGAAAACGACACCTGAGCTTCAAAATGTTTAGCATAAAAGACAGAGAAACACAAATAATTTACTGTAATCATCATCAAGTAACACATCCCACAAGCTTTTTGTTACAAGCAACAAGTCTATAATAAATACTAGCTAAGATGGCACTTTGTGCCAATGGTGCCCAACAAAAGGGGGAAATAGTGAACTAATAGCAGTAAAATAATAGAGAGAGGAAAAGAGACTAAATAAGATCAAATAAACTCATATATGAACATATAAAAGTGCTATTGAAAACCAAGGTGTCTCTCTCGGACCTCTGAAGTTTAAATATTTCATTACATGTTCTGCTGTACGACTTCAAATGATCAAAATGGATGCTTTCAGAACTGTTTTCTCTTGTTCCAAAATAACTTTTCTCTCTTTGCAAAGATATAGAGAAGACCAATGAAAATACCAGCAAACAAGGGATGCCTCCAAAACTTGTGAAGCGCGGTAAACAAGAGAGTGAGCAGCATACAGATAATGATCTGATGACCTGAGATAGTACAATGCCATCTCGAAATCAAAATGTGACAAAGCAGAAACTGCCTTATCCAGCTTGTATTTGAACAAATTCCACCGTTGGACAAGCTCAAGAAGCTCGCAGCAATGGATTCAACTACATCAATGGCACTCGTGAGACTACTGTTGAGGTTTGTCAAGAGAACATTCCTTCTGGCAGCATCCTTCTGCACGAAAGACAGAGACGAAATATCTGAAAACGGACGAAATGGTGTGTTTCCGACGCTCCACGTATCGTCCACAAAAGTGCTGTTGTGCTTAGGGCCCCACAGCAAATGTTTTGGGGAGACTCCCCACATACTCTGTAAAATAGAACCAACAAGAGGCCTCTCCAACTCACGAGTCTGGGAAAAAACATGGCGTCCATTACAACTATAGTCGCTGACAGCCTGGGTACTTTTCATCCTAACCGCAATAACCATATCTTTGAATGCCACAGCCTGATGGTAACGGTCGAGCAACGAAATCATGCTGACATCCAAATCAAAAACATAGACTGGGACAACCCTCCCAAAACCTTCATCCAAAGGAAGCTTCACCACCCGCCTGAACTCGTCCGTGGATTCTGACAAAGTCTGGTGTAAGCGTTTTTAGTCCAGATACTCACTAACAATCAGGGTGTAGTTCTCAAAGAAATACCTAGAAGTGTAAGAAGTAGTTGCCCTTGTAATGGCAAAAGAACAAATTAAGCACTCGGTTAAATTCACCTCATACTTCTTAAAGCTTAAAGATTGATTGCCCAACAACAACCCTTTATCAATAGCTTCATCCACAAAGGTCTTCTCTATTGACTTCCAATCCAATCCAGTGCTATCTTTGTTTTTGGGTGAACCATTTATGTGTATGAACTGAACAATCAAGGAATCCTCAAAAGGGACAGGAATCCTCAAAGAAGGAACAGCAAGTACCTGGTAAGCACTCCAAACCAGTGAAGCCAAGTCAGAAAGCATAGACTTTTGAGACTTGGGTCAGCCGTGGATAGACGCCAGTGGATGAAACTCGCCCCTAGGCATAAGACCATTGCCATAGAGTGCTGGACCATACTCCACTGGGCCAACCCCTAAGTCGATCCAGATGTAACGGTCTTTCCCTGTCCAAATGGTGCCTAAGCACTTGGTAACTTCTGGGGACTGATCACCATGGGTGTAGCTAAAAGCATAAGGCTAAATCAAAAGAATTGAAACCCAGAGCAAACAAAAAAAAAAGTCAAATGAATGATATTGAACACTGAAAAAAGAACCGTATTAGAAGAAACTGGGAAAAAAAATTATAAAGTTTTTGAGAAAAAAAACAAATGAATGTTTCTAGGTCAAAGAAGACTAATAATGTTCATGAAAACTGACACTTTTGGCGGATGATTTTGAAACCTAAGGGCTGACTTTAATGAGAAATTTGGTACTTTAAGTGCTGATTTTCAAAGAGAACTCAGATTTTGAAGTTAATTTCCAAGCAAATAGCACACCTTTCAAAAGTAACAATACTGTCACATGAATCATAAATGCATGAACATGATGTACCAAAAAATCCGTAGACTTCTATTTGTCAAACTTAGGAATATCAAAGGAATTTATATAGGTACCCAGAATCTGAAGTTATCACAAGTACAGAAGAATTGGAAGGGCTAGCTTGTCCACGCACATCAGGATATAAACAAGTACAAATGAAATCAGATCAAAGGGATTGATGTGTACCGGAGCTGCGGAAAGTACGTAAGCGTCGTCTATGCTCCTTTTTTAAAACCTGGAAAAATGATTGAACATAACAATTAGCAAACAATCCCGATAATGGATTGCGTATGGGAAATGCTGGCTTCATATGGGGAAAACTTTGGCGGATAGTTTACCTAGCAAACATAGTGTTTTCACATTCAATCGAAAAAGGAATTGAGCACGTGGGAAACATAGAAATTGAAAGGGTTTAACACGTATAAGATGTACCGATGTCAACTAACTGAAGTAAGTAACAAAGTCAAATAATAAACAAATCAGAGGGCCAACCGGGCTGGAATCAATCATATCTAGTGATGGAATTTAAGGCATTACAAACTGAATTTTTAAAACTTAAATGGTTAATATAGAATGAAAAGCGAGTGAAATCCAACCAGAGGGGGTAATATCATTTCGGGTGGTAGTATTCCAACCTAATTTTAGCGGTTTAAAGCAAACCTGATTCTCCAACCCATTAAATGGAGAAGAAGAAATTCACCGATGGTCATACAAATTAATAACTGAATTAGAACAAATATGCTTTCATAAGATCTGAATATGCAATAGCCTATATTCCTCATATTAAATACATGGTGAAGTGAAAACACCTAAAATTATGCATCGGAAACAGAACAAAGTACTTGTTTGTTTAGAAAATAGCCCTCTATCCAATTTATTAGTTTAGAATAGTATTATATTGGCATGAGGGAACTACAAACTGAGTACTTGTAACCAAAATCGGAACGAAGTACTCGTTTGTTTAGAAAATTGCTCTTAAAGGTGCTACAATTGTATTTCAGAAATTCAATGGAGTATTATTATTCATTCAAACAGACACTAAGCACATGTTTTAAAAGAGTAAATTAAATAAGTCTAAAGACACAGGACATGGGTTCTCATGTATGCTAAAACAGAGTTAATCTTTAAAAACTACTCCGTACAATTTTATTTTTAAGTGTGGAGAGGTAGAACCATATTTCTTATTTTCCCAACAAGAAGCATAGAATTGATAATAAAATTTCTCTAACAATGAGGTAATCTTCTACACAATTAGTTTTCTAATATTAAACGCTAGTTCGTATTTTCAGGCGCGTGAATTGAGCACTGAATCTGAATAAGAAATCTTCATATTTAGGACAAACATCTAATTTTTAAGCCACTAATATTTCACTTATCTCTTGAAATTCTAGAGTCTTAGGCAAGGAAAAAGTTCTAAACATATTAGGACATAAAAATCAGTCCCTAAATATGTTCTATCTTCATAGAGCATAAAAAATTCTTCTTGTTGGGAAAATAAGAAAGAACATAACTTTACTCTTTTGTTGATAAGAATTTCATGTGCGCCTGAATTGATAAGATTTTGGGTACTAAATACCCAAATTCTGGGTGAAGATTTAAAAGACGAGGAAGGAGACACAGAATTTGTAAGAATTACGAGGAAGGAGACACAGAAGAGACACGCAAAGGGAGAAGAAGAGGGAAGAAATACCTGGATAGTGGAAAAGATTTCTTGCAGGAACAATAGTCCAATAATTTCTTCACTCATTATTAGGTGAGGAAGACGGTGTGGTGTGGCGGTTGAAGAGGTCGTGGGTCGGTGATGGTGTAGAAATTGCGAGAAGGTGAGGACAAATAGTAGAGGCGGAGAACAGACGTCGGGAAAGATAATCTGGCGGTGCTGTGAAATTTAGAAGACGGAACGTAGCAATTTGACGGAACATTGACGGAAAAAGGACTGAAGGAAACTTTGTTGGGCCTTATAATATAAGGGGGGATTCCCCGCTCATTATTCTGCATATATAATACTAAAACCAAATTAAATTCTCCCTCCGCCCGTTGATGTTTTAAGAATCGAATGGAGAGATTGTGGGGGCCATGTCACCTGAATAGGAAACGGAACGGGGGAGGGGAGTACACCACATCATATTCTTGAACTCCGGACATCAACAGCAAGCTACCTGCAGGGCAAAGACATTTTACCTCAATACTTGGTAAAAGTTTCAATTCCTTCACAAACCACCATTGACCAGACAACCACCGCATACTATACTACTTTGATATCTCAACTACGAAGCAACGATACCACTAGAGGAATGAGTTTCTAACTTTTCAGTTTTATTAGGAACTGAAACAAAATCTCAAAAAGAACTTCACAATTTCCAGATCCTTGATCTCCACATTCCTAAATTCAAGATGTAAAAGGTCTCAGAAATTGAAATTTCCCAGACTAGAAACAATAAAGCAGGAACCACGATGCACAAAAGTATAAGGGTGAACAAAATATATAATTACGCCGATTAAACTCTTCAACAGTGGGAATGTAAAGAGAAAATTCAGCAATACTCTGCTGCATCATATGCACAAGAATCTGCTCGTATGAAATATGAAGTGGTGTTAGCTATACTCAACAAGCGACCTACACTATATAAACCGCATCATGGACCAAAAAGGAGCACAACTAGCAACCAAAGTGCATCATTAATCTCTATACTTATTTTTTGAAAATAGTGCATGGCTTGTCTTCAAGTGCATTGAAGACACGCATGCAACTATGGGTTAATTTTAAGCCATACACGACATGCTATTCGTCTACAACACCCTTTGCATACATTATTAACAATTCATTCAAGTTATCTTTTATCTTCTCTTGAGACCCTGAGAATTCTTCTTTTTTTTTGCACCGCGTCTTTGACCAAACTTGAATACAAGAGAAAAAAATACACCACTTCAAATGAAAAACAAAGCTAAGATAGTGGTATGCTTAAAATAAGTTTATTCAAACAAAATACCTTCTCATTCCGGTCCATGTTAGTCATTAATTAATTCTAGGAGCAAATTGATACTTATTGAGTTATTGGATGTTAAATAAAAGTCTTCATACTTACTCATTTAATTTAAGTCATATCATGAAATCACATTTGAATAACTAAAATCACAATAAAGTAATACTTATTCAAAATAATTAAACCGTCATAAATAAAAACTTCCTCCATCCCATATCTTTCTTCTCACTTTCCTTTTTGGTTCATCCCACTTGTTTCTTCCCGCTTCCTCATTCGACAAATAGATTATACCAAAAAGACTCATTTGCCCACCACTTTCTTTTGTTCTTCCTTTCCTCTCTCCCCACCCACCCGCTTTCTTCTTCCCCAATTCGATTACTTCTCTCTTCGTTGCACACCACTCTTTTTCTCTCCCATCAATTTCTTCTTTCTTCTTTTTTTTT